TTATGCTGATATTAAGTTTGGGGCTGCTCAAAGCAAAGAATTCACTTGTTACTGACTATCTGTTCTTGCAATTGCTTTGGTTTGCAGAACCCTGCTGCATTGCTTGAAAAACGAAGTGCAAGAACAGTGTGCATCTGAACCACTTTACACTATATCACTCACATTATATGCATCCCCCTATTCCCATAGAAAAATTAAAGTTAGACAGTAAACAGTTAGGCTTATTGTCTCTGAATAAAACTGTCCTGCTGTTGGCCATTTTTACACTGCTGTATCCTCTGAAGTATATTAATTATTGTAGTAAAACCCAGCTTGCGACGGTTGTCACAGTGACAGTAAATATGAGCATAGCTTTGCTCCATTAAATTGTTCTGCAGCTGGCCAGTTTTACACTACTATATAATGTATGGTCTATTAATTCTTGTAGTAAAACACCAGTCTTTATTCTTTGTTTCTATTACGTTTGGCCTATTACTCATGATTAAAACTATCCTGCTGTATTATAAATTTCCAAATATGAGCTGCCAGTATACGCTCTTGCTGAGACTGACTGTGAAAATCATTCTGTTCTGTACCACCATGTACAGCTATAAGGCATGCTGCAAGCATGTTATTCAGAAAATGTTTTATTTTCAGTGTTGCTTTCGAAGACCTTACCTTACCCGTGTTGTATTTTTTAAAACATTTTTTGCATTGGCACGTTTTAAAGAGTTTTCTTAGTAGGTCTAAAAAAGGCAGATTTAACATCAAGATTTGTCCCCTGTAGCCATTTTTGCATAGGCATGTGTTTTTGAGTAGTTTGACTAGTAGCTCGAAAAATGGGCAGAATTTAACAACAAGATTCATCCCCCATTTTCCTTTCTATTTAGAGGTGCGTCACAGCAAAAATGAAAGATTAGGAAATTATGGAACCCCTATTCAAGCAGCTATCTGGTTGACACTTCATCAACAAATATTCATATACTGTAACTCACTTATATAGGGCAGTACAGTTTCTAAATGGTTAGCCCTTCCGCCTGGCAGTACTAGCGTCATTGGTTCAAATCCCAACCACAGCACCACCTGTCTGGTGTTTGCATGTTCTCCTTGTGCCTGCATGGGTTTCCTCCAGTTTCCTCCCACACTCCAAAGACATGCTAGTAGGTTAATTGGCTTCTATCCAGGGGCGGACTGACAACTCATGGGCCCCCAGGCAATAGGGGATCATGGGGCCCCTGTGTCCTCACCCACACTCAAATCACACCCCAAAAAAGCCTATGAAAGGTACCAGGGACATCTCATGGGGCCCCCTACTGACCCCGGCCCTCAGGCAGTGCGCGACTTCCCCAATGGTCAGTCCTCCCCTGCTTCTGTCTAATTAGGCCCTAGTATGTGTATGTATGAATGTAAGTTAGGGACCTAAGGGGTTGTACACCCCTTGAGGGTTAGGGACTGATGTTGTTGTACAATATATATGTAAAGTGCTGCATAAATTGACAGTGCAATATAATTACCTGTAATAAATAAATATATAACATACCCATAAAGTGACATATCAAAATTGTATATAACAAAAAGTGATGAAACTGTGTCACTACTTTACATATTCAACAAATAACCAACTGTAGCAAAAATTCTTATATGTGCAAAGTCCACAGTTTTTGTTTATAGATCTTCTTTACCCATATATACCGCCACCATTCAACATTCCTTTAACTAGTTGCTGACCGCAGATAGCCGAATGACGGCTGCACTGCGGCCGGCCAGTTCTGGGTGAACGTCATATGACGTCCTCCCAGAACGCGCTCTCCTGCGCGCCCCAGGGGGTGCGCACTTGGCAATCTCCGTGATCGCTGTGTCCTACGGACACAGCTGATCACGTGATGTGGTAAAAGGCCAATCACAGCGGCCTTTTACCACGTGATCAGCGGTGTCCAATGACACGCTGATCACAGGGAAATGCAATTGCCGGTTCTCGGCTGCACTTTCCTCACGCTGTCAGATCGTGAGGAAAGTACTGCCGAGAACCGGCAGTTGTCAGAGCGAGGATTGGCACCGATCATCAGGGCACTGATGATCAGTGCCCTGATGATCGGTGCCCAGCAGTGCCACCCACAAGTTCCGCCCATCTGTGCCCAGCAGTGCGCCCACTAGCTCTGCCCACCTGTGCCCAGCAGATCACCCACCTGTGCCCAGAAGATCACCCACCTGTGCCCAGCAGTGCACCCACCTGTGCCCAGCAGTGCACCCACCTGTGCCACTCTGCAGTGTCACACACCTGTGCCCAGAAGTGCCACCTACCTGTGCCCAGCAGTGCCACCCACCTGTGCCCACCCACCAGTGCCGCCCACCAGTGCAGCCCAGCAGTGCTGCCAGTCAGTGCCACCAGTCAGTGCCCAGCGGTTGTGCCAGTCAGTGCCGCCAGTCAGTGCCGAGCAGCGATGCCAGTCAGTGCCGTCTATCAGTACCCATCATCAGTGTCATCTATCAGTGCCGCCTATCAGTGCTGCATATTAGTGCCGCCTATCCGTGACACCTCATTAGTGCTGCCTATCAGTGCCGCCTATCCGTGCCACCTCATTAGTACTGCCTATCAGTGCCCTTTAGTGCTGCCTATCAGTGCCCATCAGTGTCGCCTATCAGTGCCCATCAGTGCTGCCTCATCAACGCACATCAGTGAAGGAGAAAAATTACCTGTTTGAAAAATTTTATAATAGAAACAAAGAAACTTTTTTTTTTCAAATTTTTTGCACGTTTTTTGTGTGTATAGCGCAAAAAGTAAAGCTCCCAGTGGCGATTAAATACCACCAAAAGAAAGCTCTATTTGTGAGAAAAAAATAATCAAAATTTCATATGGGTACAACGTTGCATGACCGCGCAATTGTCAATCAAAGTGCGGCAGCGCTGAAAGCTGAAAATTGGCCTGGTAAATAAGGGGGTATAAGTGACTGGTAGGCAAGTGGTTAAGGAATCAAGTGTTGTTATCAAACTGATTTTTCTCCTCTATGGAAAATTGCTCTGCAGCACCTTAAATCATCACCAAGTTGTGCATCCACCACCAAATTGTGTTAGCTTCAACTCTCCAGAACATGTTGCTGGTAAAGTTTTATAAACCAGCCACCAAGCATTCCCTTCTGGGGGTTATACTGATCAGATAAATATTCTTACCTTTAGGTAGAAGTGAGTCAGCAGGAATTTATATTTAGGATTGAAAAGTTGCTTTAGGTAGAATGGGAGATATACAGTACACCAGGGGCGGACTGACCATTTGGAAACTCGGGCACTGCCCAAGGGCCCGGGGTCAGTAGGGGCCCCATGAGATGCCCCTGGTACCTTTTTCATAGGCTTTTTTGAGTTTGGGCAAGGACACAGGGGCCCCATGATCCCCTATTGCCCGGGGGCCCCATGAGTTGTCAGTCCGCCCCTGCAGTATGCCCAAATATTCAATGGCTAATGAATGCCACACAAATGGGAAGGAAAGGCATAGGTGACGATCCTCTGTATCTGAATTTCAAAATCTCCATTTTATGCGTGTTTACTTTAAAACTACTGAACTGAAGAGATTCTCATAAATTCTCATACAAGGGTGATGTGATGATTTGTAAGATAGAGCAAGAGATCATCTGCACATAGGCTCAGCTTGTACTCATGTTGGTTAATCAGTACACTGTTGATAAAGTAGTTATTACGGATAGCAGTGGCTAAGTGCTCCATGGCCAATGTGTCCCAGGTAATATTTTAATGAAAGTTGCAGATTTTTAAATATTGACTTTGCAAATGACATGTGCATAATAAAGCTAAAAGGATTCATGGCATTCAGCAGCATGGGCTGCAGGAAAGGTACTGTATATGCAGGTAGACTTTTTAAAAATTTAGCAATGTTACAGGTTCGCTTAAACAAACAAGTCAGGTGCTATATTTCTGTATTGACTTTGGTTATATTTAAAAATGAGTCAAAACCATATCCAAAATATCAATAGAGCTTTCTTGGGTTGTCCAAGCTCTGCTTTACACCAACTCACAGTAGATAATTAGCAAAAAGTCAAGCTTGAGGCTTCAACAGTATTGGATTCAAGGGTCTTGAACTTTGTAGTGAAAATATTTAGTTTTCTAAAAAAAAAGTGTCAATACATATAGAAAATCTGAAATCTCAGGGTAATTAAAAAACCCAGATAAATATTATACATCTGTGTTTTCCAATTTCCACCTTAGTAAGAAATGTTGGAAAGAATACTCAATGATGAATTAGGCTGTGTTGGGACCAGATTTTCCTAACTAAGTCTTACAGAAAGGCTCTAATGAAATGAGCTTTGTAAAAACATTGAAACCCTCAGCACAAAACCACCACTCAGTCTGGCACAGAATGGTACTTTTAGCTAGCAAGCCATCCGCCAAGGGAGCGATTGAGTTACTGAAGCTTTTACACTTCATTTTAATTTATTGTGCTCAGAAACTCAAGGGGACGAAAAATGGACTTATCAGCAGATGTCCTTTAAATCTGAAGGAAAATATGTATTTTGGAATTAGCCGCTGCTACTGTCACAGTTATTTTAGAAATATCTGAAAAATTCCACGCAAATGAAATGCCTTACACTGTACAATACATTTACTAAGGTTGTATGGATTTATTTATTTAAATTTGCCACGAAACTGATACTCAGGCATATAAATGTTTCAACATACCTAAAGGGCTACGTTCTTGGTTTTGGTGGAGCATGTAAAGTTGTTAAAAGTATTTCTCAACTATTGATTTAACATAAGCTATACTCCACTATCACAAAGCACTTTCTGAAAGAGCAAAGGGACTCATGTGAACTGTATACATCATATATAAGTAAATTTGATGGCTACATAACCATAATGTGCAGAAAGTTATATTTGATATGCTAATGCATGTTTACCATTTATTCATTCTAATTATGTCAAATGTTTAAGCATTTAGAATAATAAAATACTAGGTCTGATTTACTAAAGCAAATGATTCAAGGAAGAAAACTAATGGTATGGCATACTTATCATAGATACTACATTCCCCGGATGAAGCCACGAATCCCCGTGGAGATACGCGTTGGGGAGGGGCAGTGACATCACCACGCATCCTTACACGGCGAGCACTGGTACTGTATGCGAGCACACCCGAGAGGCTGGTCTTCACCGCTTTAAGCGGCTATTATACAAAGTGTAGATTGTTTTTAATCAATGTGAGTGCATACTGAGCGCAAATTAAAGTGTTTATTTATATCAACGATAAAGCACTATGCACTTTTCTCTATTTTTACATGATCCGTATGAGGAATGCTTAACCTCCTTGGCGGTATGATTCTTTCCGATTTTTTGTGCTGAAAGCGGTACCATTTTTTTGCATGGAAATATGTAGTTTTTTATTGTAGGCTGTAATTTTTAGGAATAACTCACTGAAATCTGTACGAACAAGAGTCTATTAAACATTCCGGATATGATAAAATTTGAAACACGAAATCATAAATTATAATTTAATAAATCATAATAAAAAATAATAATATAATAATAATAAATTTAATTCAATAATATAATCAAACCAAAAACACTGAAATTTGAAATACAGAGGCAAAGTCGCAAAATCGTTTTCAGTGTCTGATGACGAATTTCCCCACGAATCATCACTCAATTCTGCAAGTGGTTCTGATTTACTATCGCTGTTCTAAAACCGCTTTTGACGTAAAGGGACGCTTTTTGGACGCCATGGACTTTTCTAAGTTTCCAGGCAGAAAGAACATTCAAAATGCAGGCAGGGCACAGGACAAAGCAGTAGGGACAAAAGATATGTGAAATGCATTGAAACAGCAATGACAGCATAAATGACATTTTTTAAAAATTTCAAATTTCCCGCCGTACGTCCCGACGTCACAGGGACCAGAACACAGAAGCCGGATGCCGGCTTCGGCCAGAGGAGATGGCCGGGGACGCTGCAGGGGACACATCGCGGGAGCGAAGGACAAGGTAAGTGCTGCAGGGACCCCCAGAGCAGCGCCGCATGGTAAGCCCGAGTGTAGCTCGGGATTACCGCTCTTGGTATAGAAATTTTACCCCGAGCTACACTCGGGATTACCGCTAAGGAGGTTAAAGGACTGGATCAAGGAAAGATCTGAGGAGGGAGAGATCCATATAACCATTCAGGCTTACATAGTAGCCCTCTATCTGCAACCTTCACCTGCATCACCTCAGGCTGATTGGAAGGAGAGCACACAGATATTTCATCCTTGCTGAAATCTGCACCAAGTTTGTTTTGTGTTTTTGCACAATATTTATTGCATTTTTACCTTTTATTAATTTTCCATATTTTTCAATTTATTAATTGGATTATTTATTTAATCATCGAAGGACACACATTTGAATAATTTTACACAGCCTTTTATTATTTTTTTTAATTTTTAATTTTTTTTCCTTTTATATCACCAATTTTGATATATATTTTTTCTAATTCATTTATTCATTATTATCAACACATGTTTGGGCATTGATTGGCATTACAATCATGTATGGTTACACATAAGAGATCATGCAGCTATTAGAGATTTAATGCAAATACAGTTTTTATACTATATACAGGTAATAGGTCTTGATAGAGCCCGACATCTATATTTTATTCATTTGTATGCACTGATAACTCACATTTATGAGGGTGAGCAAGATAGCCTGCGATCTTATTGATAGAAGCTGTTTATTATACACCTTATTGGCTCACAACTAAATTTTTAATATTCAGGTATGGCATACCTGCATCACAGGCTGATAAGCATGACTGTCCATGCAGTGATGTTCACCAAATAATGCTGATTTTATGCTCTATGTTCTTGAGTTATGCTCTATGCTCTATAAGGTGAGCTAAAGTATGTGCATGTCAGCAATATATAAAAAAAAAATGTGGTTGTCTTACTAAGCAATGAAATGTGCAATGACTTGTCAAAAAATCCTGAATGCTTTCTGTTTTAGTCAAAAATTGCAGCATATGCATGGGTATTGATCATTGAAATCTTTATTCCAAACACCAGAGTATGGAATTTCAAAACACGGGCTAGCGCTTGAACTTCTGCACATTCATACAAATGTCTCAATAGCTCTCTCTTTTAGCGCACTCTACATTTGAAAAAAGTAAAGAATTTTTAGTTGCCTTGAATGCTAGCCATATCCACTGTGTTTATACAGTATATGTATAGTGAAAATATTTTCACTTTTTGTTTTGAATAGAGCGTTGAAGCATTTGAATCCCTGCCAAAATGTCATTGCTTAACTGGCGTCAGGAGTGATCATACTAATTACACCTCAGGATGACTTGAGTGTTATCAGTCCAGTACAAACATCGTTCAGCAGTATCAAGCCCTAATGAAGGGGGGACCTTTTAAGTCTTGAAATGTTATTTTATTGTACGAGAGTCTGAATAAAATTTAATATGAAATTTAAACGTTATGTTTTTGGTGTCTTTCTCTTTGCACAACCAGCCCTTACTTGGGCAAAGAGCTGGCCTACAGCCACCATTCATGAGAGAGCTACCTAGGGATAATCATTCCTTCTCCTTTCTCAACCTTTTCACACAGATCGACCCTTGAAATAACTTTCTATTCTCAAGGAACCCCTGTTAAAATATCTACAACTCATGATACATTAGTGTGATGGTCAGTGAGAAGAATGTGTGACAGCAACTTGTGGTCACCGGGAAGAATTGCCCCCTTATCGATAGCCAGAAATATCAATGGTGTTAATGGCAACTTATCTGAGAGGCTGAAATTGCTCAAATTCTCAAGGAACCCTTAGCAATCTTTGGAGGAACCCTAGGGTTCCATGGAATCCTGGTTGAGAAACCATGGTCTAAGGGATGAATGTCACTCACTTTATAGAGATTTCCTTTTACTTCCTGCAGAATCTCTGGAACAGGAAGTGATTAGGAATCTCTCAAGTGAGACAAGGACAGCAAAAATTATGCTGGCAGGGGTTTTGAAGCATACAGTATTTACCAATATTTCCATTTCACAGGGTATCACTCTAGCAAATTTCAGTTTCTGGATAGCAGTTCCCATAGCTAATGTTCAGTGAAAGACAAAAATAATATACACTGCTAAAAAAAAAATTAAATGAACAAAAAAAAAAAACACATCTTTGAAAATCTCAATAAGGAAAAATATCATGCTGGATATCTATACTGATATGAACTGGGTAATGTGTTAGGAACGTTAGGATGCCCCATCATTTGAAATGAAAAATATCAACCTACAAAGGACAGAATTCAAAGACACCCCAAAAATCAAAGTGAAAAAATGATGCAGCAGGCTAGCCCATTTTGCTGAAATTTGTTTTTTTTTCTTTTATATCACCAACTCAAAATGGTACTCAGTAGTTTGTATGGCCCCCACTTGCTTGTATGCATGCCTGACAACATAGGAGCATGCTCCTAATGAGATGACGGATGTTTTCCTGGGGTATTTCCTCCTAGCTCTGGACCAGCGCATCACTGACCTCTTGGACAGTCTGAGGTGCCATTGGATTTAGGTCAGGCAAGCGTGGGGGCCATTCAGTGGTATCAATTCATTCATCCTCCAGGAGGAACTGCCTGCATACTCTTGTCACATGATGCTGGACATTGTCATGCACAAGGAGGAACCCAGGATCCACTGCACCAGCGTAGGGTCTGACAATGGGTCCAAGGATTTCATCCCGATACCTAATGGCAGTCAGGGTGCCATTGTCTAGCCTGTAGAGGTCTGTGTGTCCCTCCATGGATATGCCTCATTACTGACCCACCACCAAAATGGTCATGCTGTATGATGTTACAGGCAGCATAACGTTCTCCACGGCTTCTCCAGACCCTTTTCACTGCCAATTCTGGTGTTCAGTGGCAAATGCCAATCGAGTTCTATGGTGCCGGACAGTGAGAATAGGGCCCACTAGAAGATGTCGGGCCCTCAGACCACCCTCATGAAGTAAGTTTCTGATTGTATGGTCAGAGACAATCTGTTGAAGGTCCTTTTGTAGAGCTCTGGCAGTGCTCATCCTGGTTCTCCTTGCACAAAGGAGCAGATACTGGTCCTGCTGATGGGTTAAGGACCTTCTACAGCCCTGTCCAGCTTTCCTAGAGTAACTTCCTGTCTTCTGGAATCTACTTCATGCTCTTGAGACTGTGCTGGGAGACACAGCAAATCTTTTGGCAATGGTACATATTGATGTGCCATCCTGGAGGAGTTGGACTGCCTGTGCAACCTCTGTAGGGTCCAAGTATCACCTCTTGCTACCAGTAGTGACACTGACCCTGGCCAAATGCAAAACTAGTGAAAAACAGTCAGAAAAAATGAGTAGGGAAAACAATGTAAGTGGCCTCCACCTGTAAACCATTCCTGTTTTGGGGGTCATCTTATTTTTCCTCATCTAGTGCACCTGTTATTAACTTCATTAACACCAAAGCAGCTGAAACTGATTAACAACCCCCTCTGCTACTTAACTGACCAGATCAATATCCCAGGAGTTTAAATGACTTGATGATATACTCTGATTAAAACATGTTTCTTTAATTTTTTTTGAGCAGTGTATTTCAGTTAATCCAGATACAAGCAGTGAAGCGTCTTGTAAAAACATGTCATTTCATTTATAAAAACATCACTTGGAAGAGTGAGAACCAAGTTCTTAAGCAAATATATTTACTGTTTATACAAATATACAGGATTTAATCTTGCAGTTGTTGAAAATCCCTTCTTAAGGTCTCCAGTTTAAAAAAGGCTAAAGAGATTGCGAAGAACTACAATGTGATTAACTTGCTCAGGTCAACTATGCATAGAATAGTGTAAATCTGACACTGTCACCTACTCGTTTTAGCAAAGACCCAGAAGGAGACATCCAGAAATTGCACTTAAAGTCAATCTGAAAGAGAGCATGACTTGATGGAAGGACTGCATAACTAGGGTAAGGAATTCAAGGGAAAAATGCATCATGTATTCCTGGCTATTAGGCATATGTTAAGTATTTCTATAATTATTTATTGTTATTAACAACTTGTGCTTGAGGCCAGTTAAATCCAGTGTCACACTATGCTTTATTGTGGGAATTTTTTTTATTTTTTT